TATAATCGTGACCAGAAACGCCCTGCGTAACCGAAGGAAATCAAACTTGACGTCCCTAATAAGCTCCCTCATGGACCTGACCCCCATGCCTGGTACCCCAATCCAGCAGACACAGGCCGACTGCCTAGAAAAACTGAGCTGCCTGCCATTGGGTCGAATGTCAGTGTGCCTGGCCCCCCAAAACATATAGGAGTGACCGAGGATCCACATAAGGCACACCGCACCATCTGAAAAACAAACGAGAACAGATACAACCAGAAAATGCACAACACACAAAGAAACCCAAATCCAGCAAACAAACAGGGCCCCACCGTCAATAAATGAAGACGAACATAAGGCGAAATCTATGGGATTCCCACCTCCCAATACGTTTTACCACTTCCTAGTCCAAACCCCACAGGGCAGCCTCCGTGGCTACCCTGATGCAAAAGGAATGCGAGGCATAGAGGGATGCATGCAGGCCAGCAGCCGTCAGACACTTGCGAAAAACAGACACAAATTGAAAACAGGACAAGGGAGACCCATCAGCATGCACAAAAAAGAATCCAGACAAAGACGGATGATGGGAGAGATAACCCCGAACCGCACTCACTGGGCACAATGGCGAAGCCGGAATAGCAAAGAACTGCACCCGCGTGCCAAGGCCCAACTGGTACATTTTGGACTGGCTGATGTGCACCTCAACCCAATCCGCACTGCAGAAGACATCCTGCAGCAACAAACCCCCGTGAACCAATTTAGAAGGGCTAACGAGCTCCCCAATCCACAAGGCCACAAAAATGGCTACCGCAAACGTCGCCTTAAATAAACCAACCTCATAAACAGAAAAACACAAAGACCCCAAACAATCAGAGTATGCAATAAAGCAAAAGACAAAGGACGGCGCATATCCCTGCGCCTCTGAGCCCTGTGATAACCCTGAGAGCCTGTTGGACCCAAAGTCTTTTGTGAAGTCTCAACAACCCTGCAATATAAAGAAAAAGGCCAAGCCCGCCAACCGGCGATCCATAGCCGCCGCAGACACACCCCTCTCAAAGTCCCTAGCAACAAAATACAAGACAGCGAACCATACATCCGGCCCCTATGGATCAAGGCCAGCCTGTCACAACAATTCCAGCTACTCAAGCCATACCCAGCTACTCAAGCCATATCCCACAATGACTCCAAAGCAATCTCCCACAGCCAATTGGGACAAGGAACCCTGCCTTGCTCCGCTGCCAGTGCCGATTCACGGAATCTGCCCCACTGAAAATGAGATAATGCGTCAGCTAAAGCGTTATCAACCCCAGGGAGATGCACAGCGTAGATAAAAACATTCAATTGAAGGCAACGCAACACTAAATGGCAAAGAAAGCAGATTACAGGCTTCTAAGAAGCCGAGATGTGATTAATGATCTGAACCATTCCCAGGTTGTTGCAGTTAAAGAACACCTTCAGATTCCAAAAAGACTTCCCCCAAACCTCCACCACCAATATGACCGGAAAGAGCTCCAATAGAACCAGGTTCCAAATAAAACCAGCCAACCACCAAGAAGGCGGTAAATGAACCACACTCCAGCATCCCCGGAAGAAGGCCCCATAGCCCATGGAACCAGCCGCGTCTGTGAACAGCTTCAAATCAAAATTGTTCACCGGCCTGGACATCCACAGCGACCGGCCGTTTAAATGAGTCCAGGAAACTGTGCCAGACATGCAAGTCTGCCCTATGATCCCTAGACAAATGAATGAAATGAGAGGGCGAGGTGACACCCCGGCACCTCTGCCGACAGCTGTCGGCAAAACATCCGACCCATCAGCATAATGCGACATGCAAAATTCAGCTTGCCCAACAAAGATTGTAAGGCATGAAGCTGGATCCCAGGATCCCCCGACATTTCAATCCGGAGGGCCAACACCTTTTCTTCAGGTAAAACGACACTCCATAGCACCAGAATTCAAAACAATGCCCAGGAAACTGATCACCGAGGCTAGGCCCTCCATCTTCTCCAGAGCCAGCAGAATCCCAAAATGCTCAGCAATGTGTTGCAGAGTTGCCAGGAGAATGGCACACACGTTGGAAGCAGGTGGTCCCATACACATAAAATCATCCAAATAATGGATGACGGAATTCACTCCAGAGACATCCAGCACCACCCATTCAGCAAAGGAGCTGAACATTTTGAACAATGCACAGGAGATGGAACACCCCATGGGAAGGCTCTGGTCCACATAATACGCACCCTACCAATGACAAACCAGCAAATTAAAGTTGTCTGGGTGAACCAGCAGCAGCCGGAACGCCGATTCAATGCCAGATTTTGCCATGAGAGCACCCCGCTCATAACGGTGTCCCTAAAAAAAACGGAGGATCGAAAGAAGTATATGACACAGTACATGACTCAGGAGCGATGGCATCATTGACCAAACCCCCTTTTGGGAAGGAAAGATGACAAATTAGCAGAAACGCATTGGGCTCCTTTTTGGGCACCACCCCCAAGGGAGAGATCACCAAATCTGTCAAAGGCGTGCTCGGAAATGGGCTGCCCATGCGGCCCAAACTCACTTCCTTACACAACTTATTTGAAACCACCATGGGATGCTGCAATGCTGAATGTAAATTCCGCGCCTTCGGCGGAATGGAAGCCTAAGAACAAGGGATTTGAAAACCCTCAGAAAATCCAGCCTCCAGCAGTGAAGCAGCTTCCCGGTCGGGTTATCTATTTAGGAAATGCTGTATCCTTTCCACCCTCACCGACGTTGTCCCTTTTACCCGCAGGTGTTTGAAGCAACATGGCATCCACAGCTGGAACATTCGTGTTTAAACCGGCAAGCCACACTGAACTTACAGGATCCCTCATTGTACTGCCAGCAGAAACCCCTGTGTTTTATGGCCGATTGCCCAGGGGATAACGAACTACTGCCCCCCCCCCCTGAAAAAATGAACTAGCAGCCCATGCCAGAGTCATAAGCCTCATCCAAAGGCCAATGTCCTTGCTGTCCCAGCGCAAGGACGGTCGGACGGCCCTGCGCTGTCGGAACTGTTCATCATAATGGAGCCATGCATTGCTCCCGTAAACCCTATGGGCTGCACTAATAGCGTTGTGATAACAGAAAAGCGCCGAGCAATGCTCCAGAATCTTCTCTCCGATAACACTAGCCAGAATAGCAAACGCCTGCAACCAGTTCGAGAAGGTGTGCGGGATGAGCCTAAAACGCCGCTTCTCCTCATCCTCCCGCCTGCCGTCCTCAGGCCTCGACCTGTCCAAGTTTAATTTCTCCAGAGGAAGGAGCGTGAATATCTCTATATACTTACCTTTCCAAATCTTCTCCTGGACATCCGGCTTCAAGTGCCCTCAAAACAAACATAAACCTCGCATTTGGCGGAGTCAGAGAGGTGGACCGGCTCCGAAATCCGGGCACCATCCCCCGGCGCCGCGGACTGGTCACCTGATGAAGATACAGCAGCAACAGACACTGCCACAGAAAAAACCCCACCTTTCCCTGATCACTTAGGAGAAGCCCCCGCCACCCCCCATCCTCGGCGGAGCCCACACTTGCCCTCCAACCACATCCCCGCCACTAGTAGTGATCCATGTGGAAACAGGCCCGGAGTGGTCACCACAACCTCGCTCAAAGTGCAGCAGCAAATCCCGCAAGCCGGAAAGCAAATCCTGCAAGCCATCATCTGTCCCCAATGGGGCAGTACTGCTGCCCGCTGCCTGGGGGGCAGAGGCCATACCCACATCAGAAATGAATTCAGCAGAGGCTGAAAGAGGGGGAATCCCAGCCCCCAACAAGTCCCTCAGAGCAGAACACAAAGACAAAGATGAATAAAGAACAGAAAACGCACCAGGTTGCCCAGCAGAGGTCCCATCAGCCACAAGTCGGGACTCCACCACCGTGCGGCCGATCGCTTCACCATCCGGACAGCTCACCCTTGGATTGGTCCACAGTCCTGGCTGTATCACCAGGTGATATTAAAAGAAAAATGCACAGAAAAAGAAAACTAATGCAGCCACCATGTTTAAGAATGAAAACGCTGCAATATATTCAGTGTATGCTTTAGGGTTTAAATATGCTTTAATGAGGTTTGTAAACCTGAACACAAATTGATAGATGCTTATTAATATCACAGACAAGTTGACTGGATAAGAGGTGGTTTCTACAGCTGTAGTGGCACTATCTACCAGAATACAGGGATTTTTAGTGAAGCCATGATATTTATAAAAGTTGATCCTTTGATCTAATGTTGATAGCGTCTAATATCATAGTGGTTGTAGTTGGAGACGTTTTTAGTCATTTTAAATGATTACAACCTTTGATGAACTTGAGAAGTTAATATTTAAAAAACATGGTGTAATAAAGTATTTTTGGAGAATCAGTTGTTTTGTCCATATGTATATATTGTATATACATTACTATATCACATGGTTGATACCCTAAGCTTTTTTTGCAGTTCACTCTTGTTATTTATTTATCGTTGAAGTCTGTGTAATTCCTTAGTGTTATTTATAATCTGGTAATCATATTGGCAGTTGAAGATTTTTTTTTTTACTTTTTTTACTTCCTATTTACACGGTATATTGATGTTCTGAGATATTTGAAAAATATTGGACTTTACAGGACTATAAAGTGAGTTATGTATCCTATATTAATACAATGGAACACACTATTGAGATGGAAGCAAAAACAGAGCAAATCTCTTAATGTCTGACTTGTATCTTTGCCAAGGTGATAGCTGGGAATTTCCCATCTCTTCCCTGTGCCTAATACCCTAATTAAAAGAAAGGGTTAATTCAGCCATTCAAACAATCGAGAAGTTGTGTGCCAATGCTTCAAATCTGTCTCCAGGAATTAGAGGGTGAGGAGGTGGCTCATATTGAGAAACACTATTAGGTAAACATTACAGCGACATGGATTTTGTCCACTCAGCTCCCCTGCTCTTGTATAAAAAGCCAGAGATCTCACTCACTATTCCTCCACAAACTGAAGTCTGACAGTTTGGGGGACCTGCAGCGACCATGGCTTCTACATTACAATTTTTTCTTTGCTTGGGGTTGGCGGGTAAGTGAAAGACATCTTTTACGTGCAAAAAGATGTTATAATTTTAATCCATGTCTTTCTTTTTTTTTGTTTTTGTTACAGAACAGTTTTACAGAAATTGTAAGTTTTGTAGGAGACATAACAATTTTAAATATTATCTAAATATTATATATATATATATATATATATATATATATATATATATATATATAAACAGGTGTAGGTAGGTAGCCTATCTTGAGAGAAAAAGGTATGCCATTGATTTTTGCTCCTTCTGAAAATATATGCCGCCATGCTGTTTTATTCATGTTTTTCATGAGTCACTGAGCCAGAGCAAGTATTAAGATAAGAAATTTTGACTCTTCAGAATTTCTGACTCTTCCTTAAGAAGCACAAAATGCTGATGTACAGGATTTAAATTTTTTCATATAGGTATAACAAAGACATAAACAATAACTAAGGGATGCTATAATAAATTCTACAGACAGACATCAAAAAACAGTTTCATGGGTAAATGTAAACAGTTATGAGGTACCATTGTTTGATGCTGCTATGTACACTCTGGAATTTGGAGACTGTATTATCAGGCAATTCTTAGGTCATCAGACCTTAGGCTAGGTTCACCTTTGTGCAGGTAGTTGTGCATGCGGGGATCTCACCTGTTCCTACACACACAACCACCTACAGCCAAAATACGCTGCTCTTTGACTATTCATTCTTAATGGTAGCCCACACATCTAAAAACGCAGTGCGTTTGCAGGTTCAGGAAATCACATGGTGCAAAAGCACCATGAGATTTCCCTACAGATGCGATTTTAAAAAGGTGCAGGGACCTTTTTCCTGTGTTTCCCGCCAGGTATAGCAGCTCATTCATTTGAATGGGATGCTGCGCCCACACAAATACAAGCCGCAGCAAATGCATAGGTTTGAACCTAGCGTTAGAAAGTTTCTAGCTTTGATTGTCAGAGAAACATGCTCAGATAAAGCTATACAGTAGACCAGTGCACCCTGTCATTTTAGATCATTTAAGAACAGTGTAAAGTGCTTCTCTAAGAAATAAACCTTTTTTTCCATTTTTTTTCCTTCTGGATAGAATGGGCAAGGTAAGCCCATCATTCAAGTTTTTATTGCTGTCCAAGTTCCCATGAGGAGATGTACCCAAAGATCTTGTAAAAGGGGATACTGGTTCTAGGGACAACAGTTTAAGGGGGAACGCTCTCATTTTGGGAGATTTCCACTAACTTCCTGTTGCGTTTCTGGGGCAAATGAAAGGAAATTTCCACAATGGTGCACAGGCAGAAAAAAAAATTGTCAAGGATTTTAATTCTTCCCTACTCTATCCAAAAATGTTTTGGCTAAACATTTTAAAGCAGAGTTCTACTCAACCTATCAAAAAATAAAAGTCAGCAGCTACAAAAACTGTAGCTGCTGACTTTTAAAAAACAGCCACTTACCTGTCCCTCGGTCCCGTGGTGTGTCCCCACAGTCCATTTCACCGGCCATCCTGTATTCCAGGAGGTCGGCATCTTCAGTGTGGGCACCCGGCTGTGATAGCTTGCAGCTTCACAGCCGGGTACCCACTGTGCATGCGCGAGTAGCGATGCACTTCCTGAATGGTCCTGTAGTCTTCTGGGACCTGTCACATGTCACAAAAGACTACTGGGAGGGAGGACATCTTCTGCTTTTAATCGCCTAGGTGATCGGAACGGAAGTGGGAGCGGGTACCTGGCAAATTCGGGTACCCACTCCCCCCCCCTCCCCAAAGGTGCCAATCCTTAATGGGGAGCTGGGGGGCAGTCCTTAAAGCGGAACTTCCCCTTTTAGGTGGAGCTCCACTTTAAGATCAGTTTGAGCTTTGCTTTTACACTCTACTAATTGTCATTGCGAATGCATGGTAAACACACGGTAAACACAATTCAACTGCATATATAATATATCTAAAGTGGCCTTTTACTCTGACCTTTATTGAGTTTAAAGTGGCTATAAACTACAAAAAAAACTAAAATTATTAAATTGCAGAATACCAGTTCTTGGATTTGGTGGCTGCACTAGTTTTCTTTTATTGTTTCTTTCCCCTTTATTTTACCAGTTGATCCAGCCAGTAAGTTATTTCTCAAACATGCTTTAACAGACCAAGGGGTGCTTGCAATGATCAGCTTTTAAAACATTTACCAAAAGGTAAAAAAAAAAAAAAAAAAAAAAAAAAATAAAAAAAAAAAAAAAAAAAAAAAAAAAAAAAAAAAAAAAAAAAAAAAAAAAAAAAAAAAAAAAAAAAAAAAAAAAAAAAAAAAAAAAAAAAAAAAAAAAAAAAAAAAAAATAAAAAAAAAAAAAAAAAAAAAAAAAAAAAAAAAAAAAAAAAAAAAAAATAACTACCTACTTAATATAGTGTTAGCTGGAGTTAAGCTTTAATTTGTTAGTAAAGGCCATCTAAATCTGCTATTTCATCTAATGCCTCCTCTCCTCAGACTGACAATGCTGATAGCTAAAGGTGCCTCCTTTGTTCCTCCATCCAGAGTGGAGACACCCTAATCCAGGAAATTTGTTACTGGCTGGCCTACCAGGTCAAAATAAAAGAAAATAAGACTAAAAATAGAAAACTAGTGCAGCCACCACATTTAAGGATGGGTAAGCTGCGATATAAGTTTATATTTTTTAAATACATTTTTGTTTTTGAGCTTAGTCCTTTTGCTACCATGGACATATGGGGGTGGGGTGGCCGATGTTATCTACACACTCCCTGTTGCTGTAGCAACCAGGAATGTGTGTAAATCTAACAATCCAACTGTTGGCTTTCTTTAGTGTATTTTTTATGTTAATATTGTGCTTGATAAACCATTTCATTAATATATCGTGTGACATAAAAAAATTGGAACTACCGCCATTTCATTCTTTTAGAAAATATATAATGCTTAGGGGGTTTATGTAATCTTGAGGCCTTAAATAATTTTTTAAAAAAGTGCACAAACTGCTCTGGCAGTGAAAGGGTGAATACTGCTTTAAGCCCTTTCCCCATGACTTCAAAGTATTAAAGCCAAATACTGCTAGGAGGTCACATATGACAACCTTCTCCAGAGGTCAGTAATGACATTCTCCATATTACCCTCAGTGCAGGTTCTGTTTGATCCTTGTTAGCTAAAAGGACTACACACAGCAGCATATATTGCAACATTTAGCTCAAACTTCACTTCATGGCTCAGCAGTTATCACCAGAATTGGGTCATATTGACTTTGGTCTTTGAGCTTGGGCAGCATTTGGTGGTTCCAGTGGCATGCTGAATGAGCTTTGTTAGAAAGTATGGTGTAATGAGTATTCTAGGTGGTTTGTAGACAAGATTTTTATTTCTTCAAAGTAAAGTGATAGGGCATGCAGTTGTGTATTAGGTTTATGTTAGAGACAGAAATCTTGCAACTGATAAAACCACTGAACATTAACATAAAAATTAATTGCCATTCCTATTTTGCTGCTAATGAGTAATTTTCAGGCTATCTTTAAAGTACAGTCCATTTGGGGTTGAGGAAATAATAATTTTTTTATCACTGTCATAAAGTGTAGAAAATAATCAAACATACCATTTGGTGGTTGTATGCCTAATATCTTAATTGATTATGGTTGGGACCAAAAAAAAAAATTGTCAATATGATTTATCTTTTTTTCAAGGCAGGTAAATATGAAATGCTTCATCATCATCATCATCATTATTATTATTATACAAGATTTATATAGCGCCAACAGTTTGCTCAGCACTTTACAATATAAAGAGAGACAATACAGCAATGATACAAGTTCAATACAAGAGGGTTAGGAGGGCCCTAATCCTGGGAGCTTACAATTTAATAGGGAAGGGCTGGTGGAACAAAAGGCAATAAACTGTGGGGGACAAACTGATAGGAGAAATAGAAGGTTTGGTTATTAGATGAAGACAGGATAGGCTTCCCTGAAGAGATAGGTTTTCAGGGATCACCTAAAAGTGGACAGAGTAGGAGATGGTCGGACAGATTTGGGTAGAGAGTTCTAGAGGATGGGAGAGGCTCTGGAGAAGTCCAGGAGATGAGCATGGGAGGAAAGACAAGCAAGATAGAGGGCAGGAAGTCTTGAGAGGAGCAGAGAGGATGGTTTGGGTAATATTTGGAGACAGGATTGGTGATGTAGTTTGGGGTGGAGTTGTAAATGGCTTTATATGTTATTAGTAATGTTTTGAAATGTATTCGTTGGCCAACGGGAAGCCAGTGGATGGATTGGCAGAGAGAGGTGGCAGACACGGACATGTTGGTAAGGTGGATGAGTCTGTCAGCAGCATTTGTGATAGACTGAAGAGGGGATAGCCTGCAATTTGGTAGGCTAATGAGGAGGGAGTTACAATAGTCAAGGTGAGAGCTAACAAGGGAATGAATATGTTGCTTAGTGGTTTCAATGGTTTAAAAAGGGGCGTATTTTGGAGATGTTATGGAGGTGAAGTCTACAAGATTTGGACAGTGATTGGATTTGGGGCTGAAAGGACAGGTCAGAGTCCAAGATTACACATAGCACCCTGGCATGAAGGGAGGGACTGATGGTTGTATTATTGATCTCAATGGAGAAGTCAGGGGAGGGGGCATGGGCTGAATGGAATATTATGAGCTCAGTTTTGGAAAGATTCAGCTTGAGGAAGTGGTGTGATATCCATGATATGTCAGTTATTAAGTTAGTATTGCAAGAGGAGACTAAAGTAATGAGCTGAGGAGTAGATAGATAGATTTGTCTGTCATCAGCATAGAGATGGTACTGGAAGCCATGGGAATTTATCAAGTGACCAAGGGAGGAGGTGTAGATGAAGAAGAGAAGGGGTCTGAGGAGAACTAGAAGAAGCAGAGTCTCGAATGCTAAGAGAGTGGAGATTTATGACAAGGAGGGGATGGTCAACAGTATCAAAAGCCACAGAGAGATCTAGTAGTAAGGGTATAGGAATAGTGGCCATTGGTTTTAGCAGTTAGTAAATAATTATTAAGATTTAGTAGGGCTGTTTCAGTAGAAATGTAGTAA